TTATTTTTTAACATATTTTTGCTTTAGCCTGTTAGGGTTAATGGGACCATTCTGACTGGCCTTTGAAAGTTTTTAAAGAAAATTTTATTAATGCATCCTTTAGTTGGGATTGACTGAATTGTTATATCATGTTTCTGGAGGAGGACACTAGTTCCATTGTAGTTTGTACAGTCCAAAGCTGGCAGACTCAAACATGAAAGGTCGTGTGAGGAGTTACTTGAAACCAGTTGCTTTTGATTATCATAGGTGTAGTTTTCTAATAATCTGTGGTATATTCCTATGAATTAACTAGTATTCCTTGCTTCAGAAGGCACAAAAGACTAGGTTACCTCAGGTTGCCTGATGTTTATTGTTACAAATACATGTGATTAATGGAAGGAAAATAAAATAAGACTTAAATTAGTTCTAAGGCCTGACATGTTGCTAGGGCTAGAGTTGGATGACATGTTACCTGAAGGCTGTAAATTTACCAAGTTAAGCCACAAGGTGTTCTAAGTCTGTTGTTTAAAACTGTTTCCTTTTGGCAGGAGCTCCTTTAGTTTGTGAGACATGGCTCTTTTAGTTCCTGAAGTAATTGAAATTATGAACCTGACTCTATATATGATATTGTTTGCAGGTTCCTATGATCACACTGTGAAACTATTTGATGCACGGACAAAAAGTAGTGTCATGACAATAGACCATGGCCAGCCTGTGGAGAGTGTGCTTCTATTCCCATCTGGTGGACTTCTAGTATCTGCAGGTACTTCAATAAAAATAAATTTCTGTAGCTCTAATTTGAGAAATATTTCAGCTGTGTGTTTCTTGTGTGGTGGTGTCATTTGTTAATGACTGACATAATTTGTTAATAACATTTGATAATGTGACAGCTGGATTTCTCAAAGATCTTCTTCAGGAATCTGTGTTGATCTGGAATGTGAAGGTAGGGGTTGTGCTATGACCTGATGACTCCTCCTTACCCAGGGAGGGGAATAAGGAAAAGGAAAGGAAATGCATGGGTTGAAATAGAAATAGTTTTAATAAAATAATAACAAAAACTAGTATTAATGACAATATTAATATAAAGTACAGAGTTATATTCAGCCAGTACAGTGGGGGAGTAGCCCTCAGAGGCAGGGTGGTAGACAGGTCTCTGGGAGAAGGAAGAGGGAGGAAGGGCTGTTCCCAGAAAACGGGTTGTTTTCTGGGACATGACGTTTGTGGTGTGAAATAATACTAATTGGTCAGCCTGGGGGATCAGCTACCCTGGGCTTCTTCTTGTTACATCAGAAGTCCTGTAACCCAGAGGTACCTAAATTTTTATTATTTTTAATTTTTTTTTGTAAGGAATGTGTTGAATTGTTCAGCTGTGCCTGCAGAATAGCCTAAGAAGGCTAATAAAAAAGAGCAGGGTTGTAGTGTGTCTTGTCCCAGAAGATAGGCATAATTGATGGGGATGGTGAGTAGGTACAGAAAACTCTTGTGTTATGAGGGAGACAGTGTATCACTCTGTGAAAACGTCTCCAGAGAAGCAT